CCCCTGCCTGTGAAGGTAAGCTGGCAATTCACATTGTTAGACTGAGATTCACCAGAACTCTGTTTTGCGGTAGTTTATTGGGGAAGAGGGGGTGTATTCTGAACGGAATGTCCTTCTGAGCGGTTTGTGAGGGAGGCCCCTGGAGAGATCGTGGCTTTCTGTCCCTGCCGCTGCCAGGTCATGAGCAAAAGGAAGGCAGTTCGTGGTGCGTGACTCCGTTCCTGAGCCTCACTTTCCCTTTGGTACAGTGAGTTTGGGGTCCCCAGATTTTATTTTCCTTTCACAGACTTAAGGGTTACGGATGGCTGGGTTGCTTGTGGGAATAACAGAGCTAGTTTCATTCTGCTTGATAGTACTGATTGCCATTTATACACGGTACCTGAATTAAGAACGTTTCCCTCTACACCTTTGAGCGGCAGCCCCCAACATTTTTGCCACCAGGGACCAGTTTTGTGGAAGACAATTTTCCACAGACAGGGTCAGCCAAGGTTTGGGGATTATTCACGTGTTACGTTTATCGCACACGTTGTTTCTATTGTGGTTACGCTGTACTACAGAATGAAGTGACTATACAACGCAGCATCATGTAGAGTCAGCAGGAGCCCTGAGTTTGTTTTCCTGCAACTAGATGGTCCCATCTAGGGGTGACGGAGACGGTGACCGACCATCAGGCATCAGCTCCTCACAAGCGCGCAGCCTCAATCTCTCAAACGCGCAGGTCACAGCAGGGCTCGCGCTCCTATGACAATCTAATGTGCTGCTCGTCTGACGGGAGGCAGAGCTCAGGCCGCAACGCTGGCCGCGGGGGGTGGCTGCGAACAGAGACGAAGCTTCCTCCCTGGCCCGCTCATCTCCTGCTGTGTGGACTGCTTCCTAACAGGCCACAGACTGGTGTGGGTCTGTGGCCCGGGGATGGGGGACCTCTGCCTTACAGGGAAAACTGATTAGTCCATTGTTCTGTGCTTGGAAATGTTCTTCTGTAGCTAACTAGACTTTGGCACCACCAACATTTTTTCCCTTGAGAGGCTATGTGGTGGCTTTTAACCCCATTTTGGCACTGCAACTCAGGTCCAAAATATGTCCCATACTCTTCCTCTGAGAGAGGACTTGGACAGAAAACAAGGAGAAGCTGAATCGGAAAATAAAAAATCTGCAATGAATGCATCTCCTCGGGTGGCTGGGCAGCTCCAGCATTCCATGGAGCTGGTAAGATGTGTGAGCCAGGTGGGACCTCCGCTCACTCCACAGTCTCTCCCAGCTTTAGACCTGGGATTCGCGACTTCCAGCTGTGTGACCTTCGACAAATTGCCAGGTTCTCTGCTCCTTGGTTCCCCATGTATAAAATAGGAACTCTTGTGCCATTCTTGTAGGCTTGTCCTGAGAATGAAATGAGCTAAGACTTGCAAACTTTTAGTGCTCAGAAGTTAAGGTCAGCAATAGTGTTGCTGCTGTTCGCTTCTTTGTATTCCAAATGTGGATGTTTTCTGTCAAGCGTTCTTTAACTTCATGCCACGACCTGCTTTGGAAGAATGATGAAGTCATACACTCCTGAAAGCAGTGTATTTAAATGAGTAGAATAAAATCTACACAATTTCACAGGCAATCAATTATATTGAAGCACATTATCTTTTCTTTTTTCTTTTTCTTTTTTTGAGGTGGAGTTTTGCTCCTATTGCGTAGGCTGGAGTGCAGTGGTGCAATCTTGGCTCACTGCAACCACTGCCTCCTGGGCCCAAGCGATTCTCCTGCCTCAGCCATCCGAGTGGCTGGGATTAAGGCGCCCACCACCACACCCACCTAATTTTTGTATTTTTAGTAGAGATGGCATTTCATCATATTGGTCAGGCTGGCCTTGAACTCCTGACCTCAGGTGATCTACCCACCTCAGCCTCCCAAAGTGCTGGGATTACAGGTGTGAGCCACCTCACCCAGCCTGAAGCACATTATCAAAATAATTTTTTAACTATGACAAAATAATTCATGTGCTTATTTATGACCATATTAAATAGCAGGACCTTGCAGCTGAACCAACAGCCACCAAAATTTACCTAAGTGATAAGCATGAATAATGTTTGAAAAAATAAGCAGCAACTGTAATATCTGAAGTTTCTCTTGGTGACAGTCATAGGTGAGCGTGTTTGTTGTCTCCAACTATAATGGAAGAAAATGCAGAATTACAGCCAAAAGCTGATGAAAATCTGACACAATTACTTTCCTATCCAGGTTCATGGATGCCTGAATTCTATCCATGGTTTTCCAGACTGTGTGCCAAATCTCACAGCCTGTGTCTCTGGGATTTGGTTCTGGCCGGGACGACTTTGGGAGCCTTGCTATGTGTCTAGTTTTCTATACAGAAGCCTGGACAAGAACCCCTTCCTTTGGGCTGCCAGAAACCAGAAGAAGCGCGTTCCCCCTGCCACCTCCAGTGTGAATAAGCAGGTCCACAACCAAGGAAAGCCTCATCCTTCAGGGAAATAAATAGGACCCATTTGGATTTATTGATATAGAAGGAGATTTTTTAAAGCCTGGAGGTAGAATTTGGGTCCATGAAAATTCAGGGAGGAAGGAAGAAAAATGAAGCCAGCTGCCAATTAGTCATGAAAACAAAAGAGAAGAAAGCAGGCAAGGGTAATTCCCGAATAATGGATAATACGGAAACATTTCCTTTGTCGTCGTGAGGAGCTGCAGGGAAACAGGAGCAGCCTGCCAGTGCCATTGGGCGCCTTCCCTCTGCTAACTTGCTTCCACATGCTAACTTGTTCCTGTGAACCCTCAAGTAGCCAAAATCATCATTTAGATGCAGAAAAATAAAGAGTTAATTGGATGACATCAATTTGCACAATAATCTGAGTAGGTGGTCTCATAGAAGACAGACAATAAAGTGAAGAGCTCTGCCTGGAGTAACAGCAAAGGTATCAGCCGAAATGAGGTCTCGGGCACAGCACCTTTCTCCTCCGTGTCTCGGGCCCTTCCTGGTATGTGAGAAGGAATCTACACTGTTCCCATGGGCCTGGCTCTTAATCAGATTTCAGCCTCAACCTAAATGTCACGTCTAGAGGAAGGCCCGACGCCCACCGGTGTGGCGCACATCCTGCTCCCTCCGGCTCCGCCGCTCTGTCCTTTAGCACGGGCACCACGGTTGTCACCGCCGTCACTTACGTGTGTGTTGACCTGTCTGCTGTGTGTCTCCCACTGAACCTCAAGCCTCACGACTCCAGGGACTTTGTCTCTTTTGTTCCCCATTGCAGACTCGGTACCCAGACCCGTGCTGGGCACACAGTCGGTACCCAGTCAGTATTTGTCGAATGACTGAACAACCAAATGAGGCCACCAGTGACTTCCCAGTTGCTCAATTTATTGAATTGTTTCCTTTTAAAGCTTAAAAAATGATGTTTTTATTATTATTGATCATAACATAATACATATTTATGGATACAAAGAAGAAATTTAAGTTGCCTATAATTTCATCACCCAGAGAGAATACTTTTTGTATATTTTCTGCATTTCCTTATAGTTATATTTTGTGCACATAGATATGTATTAAGTATAATTAAAATTGTACCTGGTATATGATCTCATATCCTGGCTTAAGACTTTTTGCATCTCACTGAAACTTTTGAACATCACTTCAGCGGGTTCATCACTTTCTTAATCACTTCTGTGTTACTAAAAATTCATTCAGAATTTTCACTATTATCAGTGACGCTGAAAGGAACATTTTTGTGCACTGATTTCACATGGACTCTTCCGTCCTACTCTTTTTATGTTGAATGACTTTGCTGATTTTCCACCGTGTTTGACCCTCATAAAATGTCAGTTTAGTCTGATCCGATCTAACCCTTGACTTTTCTGCAGCTTTTAACATACGCGTCCATGCTCCTCCTGGTCGTAATTCACTCCTGACTTTCTCTGCACTTCCTGCCTCCTCAAGTGCTCCCTTCTGCCCTGTGTTCCTCTGCTCCTGTGGCTCAGCCTTTGGCTGCCTCCCTGCCTGTCTGTCCTCCCTGGACAACGTGGCCCCAGCACCTCTTCCATGCTGCAGGACGGATCTCGGATCCAGGTCTTCAGCCCTGCTATCACTCCTGAGCACCAGCCTCACTCCTGAGTTCCAGCCCAGCTCCAGCCCCACGTCGGATGGCTTCTGCCTCCACCAGGCTGCCAACAGTGCCTCCCTCTCGGGCCACTCCCAGGGTTAAATGAGAGAAGCACATTTCACTGAGACACACACCCACACTTTAATGGCTCTGAGATGGAGATGCATCTCACAGCGCATGATGGGCTATGGTTTTCCAAAACGATAGATGGAATCTGTCACCAATGAAACCAAATATACACAGGACAGGGCCTGGCACAGAGGAAGTGCACAAGGTCCAGATGGTGAAGGTGACCTTCCAGGAGGAGGCCACTGGTCGTCCACCATTATTCTCTGCTTTCACACACCTCTCCAGTTCAGCAGACTTAGCCCTAACACTGGCAGGTTCTTGACCTCGTGCTCCTCTGTGCTCCATAGCCAGGGGGAAGCCCCTGCTCTAAGCACTTCCGCAGCCCCCACATCTCCCTCTCCATCATGCAGCCTCCTGAGCAGGTCTTCACGCTCCCATCTCACCACTGCAGTGGGCTTGCCTCCATGCCCCTCCCTCCCACCTGATGCCCCCCAGTCCCACCGCAGCCTGTCCACAGGGTCTTTCTCAAGGGCCTGCAGAGCCTGATGTGAAGCATTCAGAGCCCTCCCCACTGTGCCCCACTGTCCTCACCCGGAACCAGCCCTCCCGCAGGGCTGAGTGTGCCCCTCACCCCTCTCCCCTCTGAGCCAGCAGCGCCCACTCCGGCACCTGGAGGAGAACCGGTTTCTTAAATGCTGGTTCAGTGGGAAGCAGGAGCAACCCTGCACCTGGGACCCCTTCCCACCCTGGAGCCTGCTGGCCCTGTCCAGGGAATGGCAGCCACACATGCCTTAATTAAGTCCAGATTTCAAAACATGTGTTTGCTTTTTCCTGGGGTGTACACAGGGGGAAGAGAGAACAGGAACTTCACAGAGTGCAGAAGAAAACGGGACCATTCGGGAAGGAATCACACACTGAGAACCATGGTGTGGAGCTCAGAGGTGGTGTGAAGACTGGGGCAGAGCTGAGAGGTCTGGGGTGCTGGTGCGGAATCTCCTCTGACATGACAGATGCACCAAGCCAAAAGGTACCTGTACCTCCCTTTTCATCTAAAATCCATAGCTATTTGAAATTTCCCATTTTACTTCATCAGATTCATCAAAATTATGTATTCACTGATTCTTTGCTGTATTCGAGCATTTTGTTCAGTTATCAGCAAGGATATGTCCAATGGTCACATCCTCCAACAGAAGATGCAGGACAGCCACCCAGCTGACGAACTACCCGCCACACATTTGCTCACAAAACAGGAAATTAAAATAAGGTCAGCTGATTGATTGCAGATTGTGAGAGAAAGATTTGGTGAAAATAATTTAGCCAGGTAACATGAATAAAACATCATTAAAATCACGTTGACCAGGCATAGCGGCTCACACCTATAACCCCAGGACCTCGGGAGGCCGAGGTATGAAGATCACTGAAGCTGAGGAGTTTGCGACCAGCCTGGGAAACAGTGAGCCACTGTCTCTATTAAAAAAAGAAAAAGAGGCCAGGCATGGTGGTTCACTTCTGGAATCCCAGCACTTTGGGAGGCCCAGGCGGGTGGATCACGAGGTCAGGAGTTCGAGACCAGCCTGGCCAAGATGGTGAAACCCCGTCTCTATGAAAAACACAAAAAGTTAGCCAAGCATGGCACATGCCTGTAATGCCAGCTACTCGGGAGGCTGAGGCAGGAGAATCGCTTGAACCTGGGAGGCAGAGGTTGCAGTGAGCTGAGATTGCACCACTGCACTCCAGCCTGGGTGACAGAGTGAGACTCCATCTCAAAAAAATAAGTAATTAATAAGTGATCAATAAATAAATAATTAAAATTTAAATTTAAAAAAGAGAAAAAAAAAAGAAATCATGTGATGATCTTGAATTAAATTGCCGTCCCATTGAATCCAGAATGGAAAGAATTAAAAATCTGAGTTTGTCCCACAATTTAAACTCTAAACTCTCTTCATTTTATTCACATTGGCAAAATTATAATTGTAAAGGCAGAACCATGAGATTTAAATTTTGTCATTAATTATATGGCTTATAAATAACCCCAATAAATCAAATTAATTAAAGAGTTATAAAAATCTTCCATCACTCTCTTCACCTGGATATATAACCATTATAATGTGGAACATTATAGTGTGGAAAATTGCTTTCCTTAAAATGCAGTCCATCATAAGGAAAATACACAAACATCAAACATTAAATAAATGCTCCAGGACCACGGACCCCAACCCTATGGAAGCACTGGGACGAGACACCCCACCCTAGGACAACCTCCAAGACCATAGATCTCACCCTGCATAAACTCCAGGACCACGGACCCCACCCCTGCACAAACTCCAAGAGCACGAACACTACCCCTCCACAAACTCTAAGACCACAAACACCACCTCTGCAACTCCAACACCACAGACCTCACCCGTATGGAAGTTCCAGGACTGCAGAACCCACCCCTGCACAAGCTCCTAACCCTAACCCTAACTGCAGAACCCACCCCTGTACAAGCTCCTACCCCTAACCCTAACCCTAACCCTATAGAAGTTCCAGGACTGCAGAACCCACCCCTGCACAAGCTCCTAACCCTAACCCTAACCCTGTACAAGCTCCTAACCCTAACCCTAACCCTAACCCTAACCCTGTACAAGCTCCTAACCCTAACCCTGCACAAGCTCCTAACCCTAATGCTAACCCTAACCCTAACTCTAACCCCAACCCTAACCCTAACCCTGCACAAGCTCCTAACCCTAATCCTAACTCTAACCCTAACCCCGCACAAGCTCCTAACCTTAACCCTAACCCTAACCCTAACCCTGCACAAGCTCCTAACCCTAACCCTAACCCTAACTCTAACCCTAACCCTGCNCCTAACCCTAACCCTAACTCTAACCCTAACCCTGCACAAGCTCCTAACTCTAACCCTAACCCTAACCCTAACCCTGTACAAGCTCCTAACCCTAACCCTAACTCTAACCCTAACCCTGCACAAGCTCCTAACTCTAACCCTAACCCTAACCCTAACCCTGCACAAGCTCCTAACCCTAACCCTAACTCTAACCCTAACCCTAACCCTGCACAAGCTTCAGAACCACAGGCTCCCACTCTGGACAAGTTTCAGGACTGCAGACTCCACCCCTGCACAACTACTTGAAGTAGCACCTCGTTGTCTAGGCCCCTGCAGTTCCCACAGGTATCTGTGCTGGTGTCAGCTTTGCAGTGCTTCCTTCCACGCCTGGGAGGACATTGTAAGCCCAGCTCTGCTGCTTGCTGGACATCGCTTATCGAATCCTGATGAGTGAAGAGAACAAGTACCTGCGCAAGACACATGACAGTTAAGCAATTACTAACTCCTAAGGTGTTCAGAAAATCTAGTCTGCTTTGCAATTTACATTGACAATTTGAACATTTCCTATCCAATCAATTTTCTCAAATCTTTTAAGTACAAAGCTAATATTTGCTTTTTGTAAACCACAAAATGTCGAACAGTATAGAGGGTGTAAGGAACATGGGAGTCCTCTCTTGGACGGCAGCCGCTGGCAGTAATCACTGTTAGCAACTCGCGTGTGAACCTTGATTTTTATTTGTCAAGTACATACGTTTGTGTTTTTTGGTGTTTGTCTGTTTTTGGAGACAGAGCCTCACACTGTCACCCAGGCTGGAGTGCAATGGCGTGATCTCGGCTCACTGTAACATCCGCCGCCCGAGTTAAGTGATTCTCCTGCTTCAGCCTCCTCAGTAGCTGGGGATCGCAGGTGTGAGCCACTGCACCCGGCTATTGCACAGAAATGGGGCCCTGCTCTATGCAGTTTTCCGTGAATTGCTAACTCCACTCAGTAATGTGTCTGACAAATAGTTTCATTCTGTACATGAAGGGCTTCTTCATTCCTTTTTTAGCAGTTGCAAAATATTTTGTACAGATTTGCCTTAACTTATTTAAGCAGTCCCCTAATTTTTGAAATTTAAGTTGTTTTCAGTTTTTCAATATTCCAAGTAAAACTATGATGATCATCTTAACCCATATGTATCTTTACACAAAATTATGCTGTAACTTATATTCCTAGAAGTAAAATTGTTAAATCAAAAGGCAAGCACATTTAGATTTTCAATGGACACCACCAAATTGCGCCCCCACCAACAGTCTAGCAATTTGTACCTCTGCTTAAAGTGGTCTCAAAAATGTCTGTTTCCTCGTGCTCTTGGGTAGTAAATACATTTTTACTGGCTAGTAAACATATTTTTAACATTTGGACCATCTAATTTCTTCTTGTATGAATTGTCTGTTCATAGCCTTTGACCAAATTCTTATCATGTGTTCCTTTTACTTATTAATCTGTAGTAACTATATGTTATCAATATTTACCTTTTTTCTGTTATCAATGTCATAAGCACGCTCTTCCACATTATTACTTATCATTTCACCTAAGTTTGTTTTAAGATAGTCAGATCCGGCCGGGCGCGGTGGCTCACGCCTGTAATCCCAGCACTTTGGGAGGCCGAGGCGGGTGGATCACGAGGTCAAGAGATCGAGACCATCCTGGTCAACATGGTGAAACCCTGTCTCTACCAAAAATACAAAAAATTAGCTGGGCATGGTGGTGCATGCCTGTAATCCCAGCTACTCAGGAGGCTGAGGCAGGAGAATTGCCTGAACCCAGGAGGCGGAGGTTGCGGTGAGCCGAGATCGCGCCATTGCACTCCAGCCTGGGTAACAAGAGCGAAACTCCGTCTCAAAAAAAAAAAAAAAAAAAAAGATAGTCAGATCCATCAGCAGTTTCCCTATGGCATCTGGTCCTTGTGCCATAGCCAGAAAAGGCTCTCTCAAGCAAAGATTGTGCAAGTATTCGCCTGCATTTTCTCCTATTACTATAAGTTTTCTTGATGACCTTTAAGTCTTTCATAAATATGGGACTCAATAAGTACGGACTTTTGGTGTATTGTGCACGTTACAGATCAATGCTATCTTTTTCAATTTATAACAAGTTATTAAAAATCAGTTTACAATGTCAAAAACTCTGTTCTTTACACTTCTTAGAAATTACTCTCCAGAGGTTCATTCATAGTGGTGCTTTCCCACATCGTCACCAACATGAAGGGTGGCACGTGGGGGCACTTGGCTCATTTCACTGCTGAAAGCAGTGCCTGGTTTGATGCTGCCCTCTTTGACTACAGGTGAGGCGCTTTCTCCCTTACCTTTCTCCCTCACAATGACAAATCATTGTGGCAATATGTCACAATTCCATCTGTGGGCTCAACTCAGGCAGGAGAGTCAAATTACTCAGGTGATTGGCAGAGGCCTACATCAGAGTCAAACCTGCAGGAAGCTTTGGGGCTGAGATTTAACGTGTCTTGTTTCTAGGTATGAGAGCCAACACCTCCTATACGCTGGGTCTAAGCACACAGGTCAAAATCTCACTAATGGACTGAATTCCTGCATGAGCCTCCCAGAGCCTCCCACCTCTTCCGCGGGCTTTGCCCTTGTGAAGTCACAGCCCCACAGCTGTGCCTCTCCCAGGCCGCCTGGGTCTGGGACGCTCCTCTCCAGGAACCTGTGTTTTCAACCGCATTGTCACCTCCACTGCCCTCCTCCCAGCTTGTTTTCGGACATCATTTTTTTTTTGAGATGGAGTCTTGCTCTGTCACCCAGGCTGGAGTGCAGCGCTGCAATCTTGTTCACTGCAACCTCCGCCTCCCGGGTTCAAGCGATTCTCCTGCCTCAGCCTCCCAAGTAGCTGGGACTACAGGCGCGCACCACCTTGCTCAACTAATTTTTTGTATTTTTAGTAGAGACGAGGTTTCACCATTTTGGCCAGGATGGCCTCGATCTCTTGACCTCATGATCCTATTTTTAATATATTTGGATCATTTTATTTTAGGTTGTCTCATAAACAGAATAGCATAATTTTGCATTTTAACTGAGTCCCGGCGGCTTTCCCCCTCAGTTTACCCATTTTTATATACTGACATGAGTATATTGTGTTGATTCTCATTTCTGGCTTTTCTGGTTTTTTGTTTCCTTACTCTTCCCCTATTATATCAATATCATTGAGTTTTTCCTTAGCAATGTCAAGACAGTACTTGCAACCAAGGTTTCAAATTTATATGTCATTTACTTTCTTTGACTTTCTTGCTCTTCCTGCTTTACTTCACAGGAAATAGGTACAGCCCACCACAAGGCCAGTGTGAACATATAGTCAAACAAAAAAGGAAGCCCTGGAAGGAGTTTCCTGCAGCCACAGCCAGACGCTGCACTTTACTTGAAGTCCCAGCTTTGGCAACATGGTTCAAGTGTCGGCTCCAGGGCAGAGCCGGGGAGAGCAGGCTCTTGCCAGACAGTGGCGCCGAGGCATCCCTCCCCTGCCCTGTACCTGGACAAAAACGGGAAACATGGGAAA